TATATATCAATACACCCAAACACATTAAAAATAAATGAAAAGCAATTTTGGGGACAAAACCGGAACGTCCTTTCTAACCTCCTACATCTGTTTCACGTGGAGAAGATGAACGGAACGGAAAGATGATGCGTCGACAGATGACAGGTGCTTGTCGCGAAGGAATGTGGAACTGTAAACATCATTGCCAAATTTCAGATATAATGTATACGGGGGACGCTTGGTAAAGCCTCATCCTAATTACCAAAATGCTGAATTAAATTTGTTCTGGAAAAATTGTAGTTCATATGTGATGCCAAAGCACATCTCTCTGGATGTAATCTGGCGTCACCTTTGTGTGAGGTTAGGCTGCCTTTGAGTGATCTCGATGTTTGGCCTATATAAACTAAATTACAGTTGTTGCAATTAATGCGATAGACAGTGTTGGTTGAATCAAGCAACGGAACCCTATCCTTTATTTTGGAAAACAAAATGTTGACTGTGAGCACTGATTTACAACCAAAACGACAATTAAAGGAATGATACAGCCTGATCAATTTTGGTGGTAATTCTATGATGTATGGCAAGACAACATAATTAACTCTGGAAATAGAAGCATCCACGTGCTGTCATTCTCATTCGTTGAAGAATTCATGGGCGTCGGTTGGACAGGACAGTGTTGTCATTGTCACTATTGTTATTCGCAATTGGCAAAATAGTCGGAGCAGAGCTGAACAGGATTATGTTAACCAAATACTTCGGATAGCCATTATTAATGGATGAAACTGAAAGCTTCCTTAAATTGGAAAGATGGAAAGTATTGTCAGAGATTTCTATTACCCTGTTCTTCATTTGTTTCACCAGGATTATTTTTATTTTAAGTTCGTGGTAAGACCTGAAATTCAGGAACCTTCCAGCGGAAATTTGTTTCCTGTACCAGTCTACCAGTAATATATTGGCGTTGGTGCGAATCAACCTTGAATCGAAAAAGGGAACTGATTGATTGTCATCTTCTTTTTCGATAGTAGCGATCATAGCTGTTAAAAACTTCAACAATATCATCCACCCTTGCATAAGGAATAATACGGTAATATCGTCGACATATTTTTTATGAAGATTAGATTGTAAGGCAATACCTGAATAACAATATCAAGCAGGTCATCATCACATATTCTGCCAAAATTGGAGATAACGCAGAGCCCATGGGGCAACCATGTGTTTGTGAGCACACTTTGTTATTAAAAGTGAAATAATTGTTCTGGAAAACGTACTCTAAGATATTAATGAAAGAATCCAGAGTTAGGCTGCTGTATTGGAATATTTGATACCAATGTTTGTTGATGTATCTAATGTAAGCTTCCAAATAAACATTACTGAACAGTGAAACTACATCTAGACTAGCAATAACATGATCAGGAGATATTTGAAACCTATTAAATATCTGCATTTAATGAGAATAAAGCTAGTGTGGCTGATTCAACAGAAGCCACAATACGAGTAGGTCTTACTGACAAAACCGGTTTATGTATTTTACAGAAAATTTAGGAGAGAATTATAAGTGAGTAGCCTGTTAACAATGTCATTGAATCCTTTCTCTACTTTAGTTGTAGGGTCTTTATTGATAAAATTTTCATTGTGTCACTTAGTAACCTGTCAAACTTACGTATATTCATATTTTTGATAGAATGCAACAGCAAAATTATTTTTTGGAGTTACAAAATAATTCGAGTAGTAAAAGCAATAATGCTTAAGCTATTTCAAATGATTTACTTCTTTTCTTTCCTCTATTTCTTCCTTCCTTTCTTTCCTTCTTTCCCTTTTCTCCTTAAAACTTTATTAAATAAGTTAGGTGCTCTTGGTTTCACAGATGATGCTAGGGAGTTGATGAAATCTTACTTATCTGATCGTAGACAATTTGTTAGCTATAATGGCTTCCAATCTGAGACCTACTTGACACCCTCTGGAGTTCCTCAGGGATCCAACCTGGAACCATTACTGTTTTTGATATTTATTAATGACCTCTGTGACTCAGTTGAATGTGAACGCCTATGCTTTGCTGACGACCTAAAAATTTATTCGCAGATAAATACTCCTGATGTATCAATTGAATTTTGTGCTATCTTGGTGTGTAAAATAGTCAGCTATACCAGGAAAATTAATGTTTGCGAATATACGTACTCTATTGATGGGTCTGTGCTAGAAAGATGCTCTGATGTACGTGATTTAGGTATCTATGATCAAAAGTTAACTTTTAGTCAGCATATAAATAAAAAAGCATCAGAAGCATTGGCGGCTTATGGTTTCATAGTAAGGAATTGCAGGAATTTCATAACATAAAGTCTATTAAGCTATTATATTATGCTTATGTTAGATCCAAAGTCGAATATTGTAATATTGTTTGGAGCCCTTACTATGAATGCTATAGCACAGCTATTGACAGAGTACAACGGAAGTTTATGAAGTTTGTTCCGTTTAGGATTGATGGGACATATCCAGAGAGAGGTACAAGTAATGAGGAGCTATGTAGTCGCTTAGACATGTTGACTTTGAAAAAACGTAGGTACTGTGCCTCAATAATATTTGGCTACAAAATAATCAACAATTTAATTGATTGCCCCATGATCCTGGAACAGATCAAGTTTCGTACTCCAACGTTTGCATCTCGCAAACATAAAATATTCGAGCTTCCTAGAGCTAGGACAAACATTCATCTCAAGTCACCGTTATATGTAATGTGCTCTAACTTAAACAGAATTGGATGTTACTGTGATATATTTACGACAAATGTTAATTACCTGCTAAAGGCAGCTAAGGCTTATTCGGACCAATAGCTCATGTTACAAATTTATACCTGTATTGCATTGTTGATTTCTTTCCCTTTTTTTCGCTTTTTTTTGCTTTTGTATTATGTTTATAAATTGTCCTATAAATGGGAAACTGTTGGACAATAAAGCTATTATTATTATTATTATTATTATTATTATTAAACATGTTTGGTATCTGGGTAGCCAGACCTGACAGACTAACAGACCGACGATACTTTTAACTAAGAGCAAAGTTCCCCCGGACCGCTCTGACGAATAATGACGAATAGTAGAATGTAAGAATGTATTATAATGTCTTAATTGCCTCGATTGAAAATTATTGAAAATTAAGGGGGAAGTGAGAGAGATGATTTCAGTTTTCAAAGATTTAAGCAATAGTATTTTCTCACCCAACCTTTGTAAAGGAGATTGTAGCCCATCTTCTGCAAGGTATGATGTTGTTTATGGATGTTATGCGATGGTTGATGTGTGGTGGTAGGATGCTGTTCTTCCTGCATTTTATTAAGAATAGCCGTCTTTTTATTTCATGCGCCAAGCGTTTTCTGTATTTAGGATACTTCCAACACATCGAGGAATGATATGGGGCACGCTCAGTTACTAAAGGATTGAATCAAGTAAAGCCTAAAAAGTTTGCCAGTTTCCCAATTAACAATTAATTATATTTTATATATGTATATATATATATACGTATATATATATATTTATTTCGAGCATGAAGTGGCATCCGACAATTCTAAAATCCATGTTCAAGTGGCATCCGGGCATCCGTACCATTTTGCATTGTACGAGTGTTTCGGCAGGATTTAGCTAAAATTGGAAAAACAAATTATCGATGAAAACATGTAGTCTTGTGAAGAAAAATGTCCCTACAGGATAGATAAATGCCTCGTTTTAATATTAAGTCGCCTATTATTTTTAGTAGAGGCTACCCCAAGTGCACTTAACCTGATAACAGGATATCATACAGAATTCACCCTTATCCGTGACTCACGTATTATAGTGACTGGATTTCTATATATTATATTATTATTGGAATAAATGTTTGGTTCATTTAGGAGTCAGTTTCTGGGAGTAAGCTTTTCATATAAATAATACCATTCAAATCACATTGAGTTTTACATGCAGGGTTATAATTTACAAACAATTGAATTTATTTTTGTTATATTCTGGACTATTATTTCGGTATACCGTAAGATACCGATATCTGACAATGTTTACCATGCACTAGAATAGCTTGTCTGTCTAACGGTAGTGAATTTGTTTGCGACACTATGTTTTAAAATCTCTTTATCAAATAGAAACTTAAGACGTCTTGAACTGATAATAACAAATCATGTTGCACAGGTTATAGTTCACGGACTGTCATTTACCTGTCTCAAGTAGATTAGTGGCTACAATAACAAATTTTTGGATAAGATTTGGTTAAGTTGTGGAAAATTTGCAATTCAGACATTTTATTCAAATTTGAGTCGTGACTTTGAAAACATATGAAGTTCATATCAGTATATCATCCCAAAACAAAACTACTGATATTGGTTGTTCAATAGGTGATCGCTGATCTATTCAAAATAAATGAAATTGAGTATAAAATAATTTGTTTGGAGTTCTACCGAGTGATATTTAGTGCAGTCAGTGTTTTGGTTCCTAAAAGTAAATCATATATATTATAGAAGTAATTATAGGTATGTGGCATACCTTAAGTTTCTTGAATATGTTAATAGTGGACAGATATTGAAATTTAAGCCATCTAAGGAGAACTTACAATTCTCTCAGTCGTAGAAGATTCTTTATGTTGACAACTTCCGTTAACACGTTGACTGCCGTGAGTATCCAAAGTGGGATCTCAGGAAATCGACAGATCTGGCCGCGAGACTACACTGTGGGGACTCAAGCAGAAAAATATTTAACAGCCGCGTGTACCCACAGCTGGACTTCAACCGCGTTAGTTTCATATGGGGACGCGAATATGTGGCTGTTATATGTAGAATTTGCATTTGGCCTGTGAACTTAGTGTGCTGTATGGGTACACGTGGCTGTTACCTATGTCATTGAAATTAAACAATATTTATTAGCTAATTATTATATTTATAATTATTGTAGTCCAAAAAAAAAACTGTAAAAAATATAAATACAAAAAAGTAATATTCAAACTTTATAAAAACATTAATAAACATTATTTATTTTGTACAGCGATGCACCTCAAAAAAACATGACAAACAGTAGTGTTTCATACATTGTGAACATTTCAATTTGGTTTTTTTGCGTCTTAGCTTGTGCATGAATGCGCCCAAGTTGGCGTGCTAGTGTTTCATAGCATAAACTGCACCTTCCTCGGCCTGCCCTTCCAACATCCTCAAGAATATGTTGAATATATGGCATGTTTTCGATATTTTCGTTTGGTTTTGACAGGCTTCCCACATTCAGAAATTCTGTTGTTACAACCTCTTTGAATTTTGTAACGCTCATTTTTTGATTTGTTACTTGTTGGTGTAAAATGTATGCATTTACCAAGGCAGTACCCGTCAACAGTTCAATGGCCAGCTTCCTGTACCATTTTATGCCTCTCCTCAGACATGTATTATAAGCTTTCATTTGGTCTGATAAATCAATAAATGCTTTATGCTTGTTATAATCGATCACTGATGCAGGCTTTTCCGTTTCCTTGTCACCACTTTTGACTTTTATCATTTCAGAGGTATGTTTAGTACTGAGAGTGAGGACATCTCTCTTATCCATCCACTTTTGAACAACTACGCCTGAAGTGGATTCGGCAGCAATAGTCTCTCCTTTTTTCAGTTTTTTTTCTGTAACTTCTTTAGGATTAAGTTTTCGATTTGCCCTCAAAGTGCCAACTAAATGTGTTTTCTTCTCAAGCAGTTCATGAGCCAACGATACACTTGTGTAGTAGTTATCGGTATAAATCGTACGACCTTCGTACAAGAGATTCTCAGCGAGTGTAAGTACAACATTCTGTGACGATGCTTGCCCTTCGGTTTTATCTTGGCCGACATATACTTGGATATTGTATGTGTATCATTTTTCCAAGCAAAGCTTGTACAGTTTTATACCAAACTTATGACGCTTGTTTTTTATGTACTGCCTAAATCGTAGACGACCTCTAAATGGTACCAGTGTTTCATCAATACAAAGCGATTCTTTTGGAACGATCCGGGCTTGGAAACTTTCAAGTAGCTTTTCTATCAGGGGAACTATCTTTTGAAGCCTGTTTTCTGAAATTACCTCATTATCGTGGAAATGCCAGACTCTTAGCAACAACTGGAACCGGTTTCTTGACATTACATTTTTTATTTTATTATCAAACATCACCTCTTTCGACCAATATGACTCAATGGATGGAAATTGGCACAATCCCATCCAAAATATTATACCAATAAATCTTTTCATTTCTGCTTTTTCTACATCGCGCCACTGATGGATCCTAGCCTTAGGAGCTGATTCTCGTGCCTTGCATTGAGCAGCATACCTATTGGTTTCTATGACCATCATATCCAAAATGTCATCGTTCAGAAATAACTCGTAGAAGTTTATTGGATTTTTATTGGAATATGATTCGTATATTTGTGGTATGATTCCCGGATCAGATATTGTAAAATGAAAATCTTTCAAATGTGAGCCAGATACCTGGTACCAAGCAAGATCTGTGGTACTGTTATTTGATGGACCAACTTCACTGGAATCTTCAGCATAACTACGAATAACTTCTTCAATTGTTTCCATTTCGAGATCAATGGCTGAAGTACTGGCGACTTCCGCATTACTATCAGATGTTGGTGTTTGGGATTCATTGAAAAGTAAACGACGGCGTTTTCGATCACTACAGTCATCATCAGAGTCCTCACTTGATGACTCGTCATGACTTGGTACATACTCATCCGACAAATCAGGAAATGGATCTTCCTCCTCATCGGACAACAGCTCCTGAAAAAGTTAGATATTTTGGTATAACCATGTCCAAAAGTCTCAAGTGACACCTACCTGCCATATCTTCATGAGCCTTTCTTGTTCTTTTTCATAACTCATCGTAGACTTTTTATTCGCACGCTCCGCTTGTTACTGACTCTAACAATATACTAACAAGCGGCACGTGGTTATACGATATCTCGCAATAGCCGCTGGCGCTTGCGCTCTATCACCGTGACGTAGGTCCGCTGAGATCCCACTTAGGAGCCACGTGGCTCCTGGGTGTAAAATCATACTTAAGGGCCGCGTGCACCCACCGTGGATCCTCATCAATATCTACATGTTCTAGGTCAAAATTATCAACATCATTAAGTAAGAACTACTAAACTATAGCTTATTAGTCATTTAAGCTGAAAAAAGTATTGCGGCCAGAGAAGACACAATTTTTTTAACATTGCGGCAGTCAACGTGTTAATACTGAATGAAGGGAAGGGTGTAATAGAGGAAAACGTAAA